CCAGTTTGCATTATACAGGTTATAAGGTCATGGTGATATTTTAGATTATGCATTCCATCTCAAACAGTAGTTGAGCCGCTTATGTTCTTAAATGACATTTTTTAGGTTCCCTTTTTGTGTTTCCAAAGCAGCATTAGACATAGGTCTGGAGTGTTGACAGTTGTGAAGAAGTACAGTGCAATAATGCTTCATCAGATAAATAAGCGATATTGTAAAGTTTGTCAGCAGAGCACCGCAGCAGCCACTCGTGTCAGTTTTAAAAGACAAAGATGGGTACCCAAAGGAGACATGTCAGCCTGTTAAGACACTTAAGGTTTAATATCTTTAGGTTTAACATGGTTGACTAGTCACTTCTCTCTGTCCTTCCCACTAATTACAGTGAAAAACAAGGGACCTTGTGTGTAAAACAAACATAAGACTCTGAAAGGTAGAAGGCCACTGACCAGCAGGGACTATGGTACTGTCATGGCACCAAAGTGGTATCAGTAAAACCTGGTGGGGAGCTTGAACTCTCACCCCAACCCAGCACTATCAAGGTACCTCTCTCACTTTCCACTTTGGGTACTAAAGGCTGACTGGGGAACATGAATTTTTACCCTCAATTGCTAGTAATGAAGTAGCTATCCCATTCCCCTGCTGGCACAGTATCACAGAAGGCCTGCTCTGGCTGAAGATTTAAATAAGATCCAAAGATTTATAATACCCCAAATATCCAAATTTCAATAAAAGTCACTCATAACCAGAAAAGAATCAGGAAAATCTCAACTGAAATGAAAAATGAACCTCAATAGACACCAACCCCAAGAGAATACAGATGTGAATTGTCTGACAATGATTTTAAAGTAGCCCTCACAAGAAGGCTGAGCTATTAAAAACATACTTGAAACAAATGAAAAAATACAAAGTCCCAGCAAAGGAAAAAAAAAAAAAACTATCAAGAGAAACCAAATGGAAATTTTAGAACTGAAAAATGTAATAACTGATTTTTTAAAATGGAATAGACAGGTTTAATGGAGAATGGGGATGGTAGAGGAAAGAATCAATGAACTTGGAAGAAATTAAGAGAAATTACTCATTCTGAACAGCAGTGAGAAAATGGATGAAAAACAAAACCCAGAGTTTAGCTATAACATTTGTGTCATCATATGAACAGAAAGAGAGGGGAAAGAGGGTGGGACTAAAACAATATTCAAAGAAATAATGGCTGAAAACTTCCAAAATTTGAGAAAAGTCATAAATCTACAGATTCAAGAAGCTGACCGAACCTTAAGTAGGATAAACCCAAAGAAATTCATACCAAGACATACTATAATCACATTTCTTTTTTTTTTTTTTTTTTTTTGAGACGGAGTCTCGCTCTGCCGCCCAGGTTGGAGTACAGTGGCCGGATCTCAGCTCACTGCAAGCTCCGCCTCCCAGGTTTACGCCATTCTCCTGCCTCAGTCTCCCGAGTAGCTGGGACTACAGGCGCCCGCCACCTCGCCCGGCTAGTTTTTTGTATTTTTAGTAGAGACGAGGTTTCACCGTGTTAACCAGGATGGTCTCGATCTCCTGACCTCGTGATTCGCCCGTCTCGGCCTCCCAAAGTGCTGGGATTACAGGCTTGAGCCACCGCGCCCGGCCAATCACATTTCTTAAAACCAAAGGCAAAGAAAAAATCTTGAAAGCAGCAAGAGAAATGACACAATGCCTATACAGAAAAACAGTTTGAATGACAGTAGATCTCTTATCAGCAAACATGGAGACCAGAAAAAAGTGGCACAAAATTTTGAGGACTAAGGAAATAATTGTCATCCCAGAATTCTATATCCAATTAAGATATTCTTCAGAAAGGAAGAGGAAAACCACGATGCTCTCAGGTGAAGGAAAAGAGAACTTACCATCAGCGGACCTACCGTGAAATAATGTCTAAAGAAATTTCCTGAAACAGAAAAGAAATTATACAAGAAAGGAATTATGGAACATCAGGAAAGAAGAAAGAATAACAAAGAGTAAAAATATAGTAAATATAATAGACTTTTAAAAAACTTTTTTGAATGTTGTAAATTATGTTTGACTTTTCACTGTTTTCAAATATTGTAAAACAGTCTAGTGTAGTTATCAATGTATGTAGAGAAAATATTGAAGATATTTACATTATAAATGGAGAAGGGTAAAGGAAGGTAAAGTCTACACTTCACTGGAACTGGTGAAATATTGACACCAGTAAATGTTGATAAGCTGTATGTAATGCAGTTCTTCAGCAGCTACTTTAGAAAAACATCTATTCAAAGAGATGCAGTCAGAAACATTTTAGATAAACAAAAATGGAATTTTAAACTATGTTCAAGTAACCCATAAGGAGGAGGGGAAAAGAAAACAGATAAAATAAATAAAATGAAATAACAGATTTAAGTTTCAACATATCAAAGACTACATTAAACATAAATGACCTAAATTCATCTGTTGAAAGACAGATTTGCAGAGTGAATTTTTAAAATGACATACTGTGCTGTGTACAGGAAGTAATTTCAGACAACAGTATAGGTAGGTCGAGAGTAAAGGTAACTTTATTTATAATAGTACAAAACTGAAAACAACCAAAGTGCCTCTCAGTAGATGAAACTGCTAAACAAACTGTTATATTCATACCATGGAATTCTACTTAATAATGAGGAGGAGTGAACTATTGATACTTGCAATAACTTGAATGGCTCTTAAGGGCGTTAAGCCGTGTAAAAAAAAATCAACTTCAAAGGACTCGTACGTTTCTATTTAGGTAACATGGCAAAATTTTTGAGCTCGAAAACAAACTAATGGGTGTTAGGTGTTAGGAATAGTGAGAGGAAGGAAGCTGAGTGTGACTATAAATGGGTAGCATGAGATCTTTATTGTAGTGAAATGGTTCTGCATCTTAGTTTTGGTGGTGATTACACACATGTACGTGTGATAAAATGGCATAGAATGATACACATTGTACTGATATTCCTGGTTTTTAGTATGTTATAGTAATGTAAAATGTAACCATTGAGAGAAACTGGATGAGAGGTAATATTTTTGTAACATCCTGTGAAACCATAATTATTTCAGAATAAATAGTTTTAAAAAGCAAAAAGGCCTGTATTCCTAGCTGCTCAGGATGCTGAGGCAGGAAGAGATTTTTTGAGTCCAGGAGTTCAAGGTTACAGTGAGCTATAGTCATTCCACAGCACTCCAGCCTGGGCAGACCCTGTTTCTATTTTAAAAAAAAAAAAAAAAAAAAAAAGATAAATTATAAACGGGAAGAGTTTGAATATTTTAAACAAATCCATTAATGTATTTGTATTTTATACATTTTCAGGTGTAGAGAAGCCGGTATCTTTAGTGTGTACCTCTAAAATAGTAGAATGTCATCTATGAATGTAAAATTTTTTTTAAATTTAGTTTTCTTATTTTTAACAGAGTTAAGGAGGCAGATTATAAAGAGGCAGTCATTTGACTACTCTAAACTCTTTTTAAAACAAGTCCCCCTTTAGAAGATTAGAATTTAGCTCTTATTCTCACTTTCTCCACCTCCATAAATGCAAACCTCATTTCTACCTCCCCATTTTCTCACTATAGTTTTCATATTCATTTCAATTACATCAGTAGTCTGTTTTTTCAGTTGGATAGTATAAACACTAGTCATACATGGGCTGTGATTGTTTTTCCTCTCTTGCAAAACTTTTTGTTTTCTCCAGAATTAATAATTGTCTTTTGTTTACTTAATTTTCTATATGCTTATGATTAATTGAATTTCAAATTCTCTGAATTACAAATATCCTCCTGTTCATTCTGAATATGTTTACTCATCTTAATTTTAAAAGAGAAGTAAACATAGTTTGGGTTTTAGAGTTTTGGTATAACGAAAATTCTTAGTGTTAGAATTTACTGGCAAAATCAGGTTAAATAATCTTTGTTACTTTTTCTGTTTATACACATACCCTGTCCAGCTGCAGCTAAACAAATGGTTTTACCTTTATTTCTGCTTAGTTCCTGATTTTTGTCAAAAGTCTGTTTCTTCATCGATTCCAAACATTGGTCACATAGGGAAGTAGGAAGAGCTGTGGCATAAAGACCAGAACACTTAGGTTCTTGTTCTGATTTAGTTTTAATTGACCTCAATGTAGGATGATCAGGTAACCTCCTTGGCCTCAGTTTTCTCTCCAGTAGTGACAAGATCAGACTAGATTATAACTGAGGCCTCTTGTAGTTAAAATGTGATTTCAAGTAGATAAAGTATTTACTTCAGTCCAGACTATATATGTAGTTTCTCTAAATTAAGAATGTTGTCATTTCCAGTACTTTTAAAGAAATACCCTGATGTTTAGAAAGAAATTAGATTAAAAGGTGTTAAAGTGATGGGAAATTTTATAAAAGACAAAAATGGACCATGCATGGCATCTTTGTTGTGCTTCAAATTATGATATGGGAATGGTGGTTTTCACTTTCCGAGGGTGTCTAGAAAAGAGAAATTCTAAGACCATCAGAAACCTCATTGTTTGTTACCCAGTAGATTAGATTTGACCCACAGAGGATGCTCTGAAGTAATTAATGTGGCTTTTATGGAGATTTCTTCAATTATAGACCGTTGAAGCTAGATGGGTCCTTGGGGGCTTCTAAGAGAGTCCTTCGTGGTCTAGCAGTTTCTAGTTGATATAACCAAGGGCAGAATGTACTGTTTTCCATTTGCAAGTGTTTTTACTTTATTGTGAATGCTGTGTGAGGGATATTTGATATTTGGGATACTTAAAGTTTTTTCAGAGGGCATTAAGGTGAATTGCCTTAATGCCAAATATACATTTGGAAATAAATTTGTAAATTTATTTGTATACACCTGTTGATGTATTTTTACATGTGTTTGGTGATGCTGATAAGTGTGCCACTTTATGGGGTTCCATGAAAAGCAGATATGTGATTTAATTTCATGACAAACATATATTCATCGGTTATTATATTTACTGGTTATTATTATTCACATAACTTATTTTATTGGTTTTCAGGTACTTGAAGAAGCAGAAGCTCAACATTTATATCAGTCCATTTTGCCTGATATGGTGAAAATTGCACTCTGTCTGCCAAATATTTGCACCCAGGTTAGTGGATGTAGCTTCCTCAGTAGCTTCCCTGAGACCGACAATTGAATTTCCCTTAAATTTGAATGGCCAAGGTCACAGAGAGAGAGAGAGAGAGAAGAGAAGAGAAGGGAAACAGTTTTTGCCAAAGAGTATGGTAATTTTGCTGTATTAAGGAAAAGATTAGAGGGTAGAGAGTACTACAAAAGGACATTAAAAATGCAGCATTCCATTCCTCAGCTTCTGTTTACACTGTTGAAGCTTGTTTACTATGACTTTTTTCTCTCTTTGTTCAAATAACCTCTAACTTTAAAAAGCACTCATTATTTCAAAACATACTAATGGATTTGGAATAGCGTATTTTCAAAATGGCTTAATACTACCCACTCCTTCCTCACCCTCCCCCAAAGTAATGTATTCTCTAACAAATGAGTTAATGATACTTTCTTAACTTTTTTTTTTTTGAGACAGAGCCTTGCTCTGTCACCCAGGCTGGAGTGCAGTGGCAAAATCTTGGCTCACTGCATCCTCCATTTCCCAGATTCAACCAATTCTCCTGCCTCAGGCACCCAAGTAGCTGGGATTACAGGCATGTGCCACCACACCTGGCTAAGGTTCCTTTTTTTGGAGTGCAGTGGCACAAATCCCAGGTTACTGTAACCACTGCCTCCTGGGTTCAAACAATTCTTGTGCCTCAACTTCCCAAGTAGCTGGGATTACAGGTGTGCGCCGCCACACCTGGCTACTTTTTGTATTTTTAGTAGAGACGGTGTTTCACCATGTTTGCCAGGCTGGTCTTGAACTCCTGATCTCAGGTGATTCGTCTGCCTTGCCCTCCCAAAATGCTGGGATTACAGGTGTGAGCCACTGTGCCGGCCTTAACTTTTAAAAATAAAGAATCCTGTATTTTATTTTGTTTGGAGTACATTAATTTTATATTGCTACATAACAAATTATGTCAAAATTAATGGCTTAAAGCAATAAACATGTATTATCTCTCAGCTTCTGTTGACTTTGGGAGCAGATTAGCTGACTGAGTGGTTGTGGATCAGGGTTTCTCTTGTGGTTGCAGTGAGGATGTCAGCCAGGGCTTCAGTCATCTGAAAGCTTGCCTGGGGCTGAAGGACACACCTCTAAGTTGGCTTACTTACATAGCTGTTGGCAGAAGGCCCTGCTATTGGCCTCTCTATAAGCTGATTGATTGTCCCTATGACGTAATGGCTAACTTCCCCAGAGCAAGCAATCCAAGGGAGAGAGCAAGGAAGCTGCAGTGTCTTCTGTGACCCATTTTTCTCAAGGCACCTAGCATCACTTCTGCTGTTTTAGTGTTCATTAGAAGCTAGCCGATACCCAAGGGGAGGAGTATTAGACTCCACCTCTTTTTTTTTTTTTTTTTTTTTTTGAGACCAAGTTTCACCCTTGTCCCCCAGGCTGGAATGCAGCGGCATGATCTCAGCTCACTGCAACCTCTGCCTCCTGGGTTCAAGTGATTTTCCTGCCTGTCACCTGAGTAGGTGGGACTACAGGCATGTGCCACTACACTCGGCTAATTTTTTGTATTTTTAGCAGAGACGGAGTTTCACCATTTTGGCCAGGCTGGTCTCGAACTCCTGACCTCATGTGATCCTCCCACCTCTGCCTCCCATAGTGCTGAAATTACAGGCATGAGCCACCGTGCCCAAGACTCCACCTCTTAAAGAGAGGAGCATCAAATAATTTGTGAACGTATTTTCAAACCTCCACAGGGTTTGTTTTGTTCTTCATAATTTTATTCCTGTGTTTCTCACAGTGGTGCTTGAATTTGCCTTTGTCTTCTATTTCTAGGGCCAACACCTCTTGCTGCATGGCTGCTAGCCAGGGTTCTGCTAGCATTTTACTCCGCAGGGGCCCTGTGGACATTTGGGTGGAACAATTTCTGAATGTGTATCATGGTCCCATCCATTGCAGTATGTCGTTAGGACACCCTAAACACCACAAATAGGGTCATTGGGGCAACCAGAAAACAACCCACACATGTCCAGATGCCTTCTTGGACTATACCATCTTCAATTGAGACCCATGAAATGTTTTCCAGTGTGATGTTTTCAATTTTATGTAACTTTAATTTCACCTCAGTAATGCATTGTGTCTGAAATAAGTTTTACTATTGGGCAGGGGAAGTATATTTTAAAACATATCTTCTGCTTGTTTCTGTTGGAAGTTATTTGCTTGATCATATTCCATCTTAGTTCTTTTTCCTTTCTTTCCTTACTTAGTAAAATCTCTCACTACCTCCTAGGTATGCCTGTCTGTTACTTCCCCTGTGAAGCCTTCCCTGCCTCCCAGACAAGGTTCATCCCTCCTGAAGCACTCAAATCATTGTTTTATAATTGTTGTCATTATATATCTCTTACCACTGGATTATAGTCTCCTTAAAGAGAGATCCTCTTTGTGTCACTGGTTTGCATGGTGCTTAATTATATACCTTTTGAATTCAATATGTAGTTCATAATCAATAGTAGATAGTAGGTAGCCTTTGGGAGTGGGCCATTTAATCCTCTTCTCTTCCCATCGTGCATATGAGAGTTTCCATATTTCATTTAATGAGAAATTTTTATTCAAAAGCATCTAACTTTGTAAGCTATAACAAGCCCCTTGGAACCAAAATCAGACCCCTGGGTCCTCAGCTTTTTGTCCTGGCTTCTCCCAATGACTTTCTTCTCCATTAGCATATCAATGGGGAGAGCATCTTAATTCTGTGCTTTGCCCTCTATTGAAAAGTCAACCTCTGCTGTGAAAGTTAAGATTTTTATTTGAGATCAAAATACATCTTGTCGCTAGTTAAATTGTATATGTTGATATTTAATAATTTATCACATTGAAGTACTCTAGGCCAAATCTAAAAGGTAAATTTTAGATTTATCAAAAGAAAATTAAAGGAAACAAATTTGGTCAGGAACTTTTTGAAATATCTTGGTTCACAGTAACCAGCCTTTTATTTTGTTGAGCTGAGTGCTTGACAATAAGATTTACATCTCCTCATTTCTCCAAATAATGAGTTTTTAGGCATTTCCCCTCACCAGGAGAGCAGAAATCATTAACTCTATTTAAAATTATACTATTTGTTTATCTGGGAGACAAGAAATGTTTGTTTGAAGTCCATTAAGCCTGAAATATTTACCATTAATTTTTAAAATCATTTTTCTGAATAATTTGGTAAATGGTAGTTAAAAACTCATTTCTTACTAAAACCAAGCAACACTTTGCTTGAAGCCATTGATGCACTGTCACCTTTTCTACACTCGTTGCTTGGTTGTGAATAAATGCACAGGATGGAAAATGGAGATCAATATGAGCTCTCTATTTTTCTCAGAAATGGTGATTGCTAAGACCTGAAGGGGAGAGAATTTTGTATAACAGTGAAAATAGATTCTTTGCCTTTTACTTGTTTGTTTACCTTTGAATTTTTCCAAGAGAAATAGTTGAATTGCAAGTTTAATCTGTTCTTTTTTCTGGCAAACTCTTATTCTAGCAATGATGTGTACTTCTGTACTTAGAGAAGCATTCATTATTCAGCACTGCAGTTTTGGTTTGTCTTGCCTGCCCTTTCCTCAGGTTCATTCTGGGTGTCGACTCCTGAGGTATGATCGGGACAGTTTGCTCTAGGCATGCCAGTTTGAGATGAGTGCAGATACCCGAAACTCTTAGTTCTGTGTCTTACTGAAGGGGAGAAGGTAAATGCATCTCTAAATATTCTGTAGGAGCATTTTGAAACTTAACAGCTGAAGGATAAACTGGGAGTTGGTCTTTGATTTTATCATCATGTCTTTAAAAACATTTTAACATTTAAAATATGTTGACAAAAAGAGTCAAACTCTGTAAAATATTTGAAGAGATTTATTTTGAGCCAAATATGAGTAACCAGTGGCCTGTAACAGCCCCAGGAGATCCTGAGAACATGTGCCCAAGATGGTCAGGCTATAGCTTGGCTTTATATATTTTAGGGAGACATAAGACATCAATCAATACATATAAGGGGAGCTTACAGGTCTTAGGTGGATTCAAAGATTTTCTGATTTGCCATTGGTTGGAAGAGTTATTATCTAAAGACCTGGAATCAATAGAAAGGAATATCTGGGTTAAGATAAGGATTTGTTGAGACCAAGATTTCATCATGTGGATGAAACCTCCAGGTAGTAGGCTTCGGAGCTTTTATCAGACCTAAAAAGGTACCAAACCCTTTCTTAATTCTCACCTGGAAAGGAATAGGGATTCTCTACAGAGTGTAGATTTTCCCAACAGACAGCTTTGCAGGGCTATTTCAAAATATGTCAAAGAAATATATTTTGGGGTAAAATACTTCAATTATTTCAGGATCTGCTAACTGTCATGTGATGCTATACTCGAGTCAGGCTGGAATCGTGTCTTATTACTATAAAAAATCTGTTTCATCAGTTTTAAGGCCTCTGTTTTAATGTTAATGCTGGTCACTTGTGCTGAATTCTAAAGTGAGGAGCATATAATGAGGCATGTCGGACCCACACTTCCTATCATGGTGTGGACTAGTGTTTCATATTAACTTTGGAATCCCCATGTTTGAGAGGAGGGGTTCATTCAGTCGGTTGGGGGACTTGGAATTTTATTTTTGGTTTACGAACTAAATGAAATCCACTGAACACAATACTCAGGTCATGTGGATTATACTGACAATAAAAGGTAAGTGAATTTGGTGGTATAACTGGAAGACATTTTAGATATAAAAGATTTGAAGAAAAAGTGTCTTATATCTTCTTTGACTTGGAATGTTTGATTATGTAAGAAATGTCTATCTTTTTACAACTTATACATGTTCGTATGGTGGTTTTTACATGTTCTATTAATCACTTTAATGAAGTTAGATTTGATTCTTATAAAGAAATTGTCAGTATGAAGTGTAATTTGGAATAAGAGGGTAAAGCCTTCTTTGTTGAATTATCTTAGATCATTTTATTTAGAACTAAGAAAGTTTATTCTGGCCAATTTTTTTTTTTTTTTTTTTTTTTTTGAGACAGAGTCTCGCTCTGTCGCCCAGGCTAGAGTGCAGTGGCGCAATCTCGGCTCACTGCAAACTCCGTCTCCCAGGTTCACGCCATTCTCCTACCTCAACCTCGTGAGTAGCTGGGACTACAGGCGCCCACCACCACACCTGGCTAATTTTTTGTGTTTTTAGTAGAGATGGGGTTTCACCGTGTTAGCCAGGATGGTCTCGATCGCCTGACCTCATGATCTGTCTGCCTCGGCCTCCCAAAGTGCTGGGATTACGGGCGTGAGCCACCGCGCCTGGCCTGGGCAATGATTTTTAATATAAATAAGAACAAAATTTAGCTTAAGCAATGTTACATATTTTTGTTTCATCTTTTGTTTTTATTTTTCATTAAATGGGCAGTGTGTTTTTATTTACGTGCTGAAGCAATCTTGTTTTTCACTAATAAGTAATGTTTTATATTTTCTTCACTACCATTATTATTGATTAGAAATCTGCAGTTTGTCAAGTAAGTACATTTTCTCAATCATCCCTGATAAACAGCCCTTGACTTTAACAATATTGCTGATTTAAGGATTCAAGAATGGCCTGAAATTATTTCTGCCTTAATTTAGCAAATGCAATTTGGTGGCTCTGCTTTCGAAATTGCTAAACTAATTATTGCTCTTCTCGTCTGTATTTTTTTCTTTCCTTTATCAGCCAATACCGCTCCTGAAACAGAAGATGAATCATTCCATCACAATGTCGCAGGAACAGATTGCCAGTCTTTTAGCTAATGCTTTCTTCTGCACATTTCCACGACGAAATGCTAAGATGAAATCGGAGTATTCTAGTTACCCAGACATTAACTTCAATCGGTATGTTTTCAGAAAACACCTCTTTAACAATGAAAAAGACAAAGGTGGAAGGAACTAATAATATTTTTTGAGTGAATTCCATAGGCCAAGCATTTTATATGCCGTTGTCTTATTTAATTTTTACAGTACTTAAGTGACATTTTCACCATTTTGCAGGCAAGGTGATTAAAGTTCATTGAGGTTAAAAGAACTTGATTGGGATCCAGGAGCTAGTAAGTCACAGAACTGAGATTTTATTTCAGGCCTGTCTTGCTCCAGGGCCCATGTTCTTTCTGTCCTCTCAGATGATTGCCCAGTTCCTGGACTCCACATGCCTCTTCAGTTTGATTATTCATGAGAACTTTTGTTGTGCTTATATTCCTTAATGCTGAAATACTGTGAAAGGTAGAGGAGAAATCCTCCTTTCTACAAAAGTCTTATAAAATGAGAGTATAAAGTCATGAGCTGTCTTATGAGACTTAAAAAATGCAATTGTTTTGATGAAAAATGAAAGGTGATTTTGACCATTTACAGACATGATTAATTTATCAGTGTGAAAAAGAAAAACAAAAGAATGTTCAAACTACTTGACTAAATTAATACAGTGTGAAGGTTATTGATAAAGTTTTAGATTCCAGCCATTTTCCCAAGTAACTACTTTCTCTATCTTCTACACAAACAAAAATACTGTAAAGAATCTTCTTGGCAAACCAGTGTTTTTTCTTCCTTCCTACTCACTGCTCTCATATCCCCACCTCTGTTTCTTTCTTCACTTGAGAATTATCTTTATGGGACCCATGAATAGGATATATGAGTTTTCTTCCCTGATTTCAGTGTGAGACTTGAGAAATTGCTGTAATCTGTGCCCTTTTCCCAGCAGGCTATGTGTAATGCCCTTCACTGCCCCTGGTCACCTAGAGCCTGCCTCTGAGGGTGGGGCAGTGTGCAGAGTAGGAGATAAAGTCATAGAGCGGACCCACAAACAAAACCCACTTTTGTTTGCCATACTGCTTTTGTCTCCAAAGTAGAATGATGCAGTAACACCACTTTTTTTTTTTTTTTTTTTTTAAAGACGGAGTCTCGCTCTGTCGTGCAGGCTGGAGTGCAGTGGCGCAGTCTTGGCCAACTGCAACCTCTACCTCCTGGGTTCAAGCAATTCTCCTTTCTCAGCCTCCCGAGTAGCTGAGATTACAGGTGTGTGCCACCACGCCCGGCTAATTTTGTATTTTTAGTAGAGATGGGGTTTTACCATGTTGGCCAGGCTTGTCCCAAACTCCTGACCCCAGGTGCCTCAATCTCCCAAAGTGCTGGGATTACAGACATGAACCACCTTGCTGGGTGTACCACTTATTTTAATTTGCCCTTTTAATACAGTTTCTTTAAAAACATTTTACTTTGAACTAATTTTAGACTTGCAGAAAAGTTATAAAAATAGTACGAAGGATTCCTGTATAAAGCTTAGCTGGCTTCACCTTGTGTTAACATCTTATGTAACCATAGTAAAATTAAATTAACATTGGTTTAATATTATTAACTGTAGATCTTATTTTATTTTTGAAAATTTTTTAGAGATAGTGTCTCACGCTATTGCCCAGGCTGGAGTACTGTGGCCTGTCATAGCTTACTGCAGCCTTGAAGTCCTGGGCTTAAGCAGTCTTTCTCAGCCTCCCACGTAGCTGGGACTACAGACATGCAGCATCATGCCCAGCTAATTTGTAAAAAGTTTTTGTAGAGATTGGGTCTGGCTGTTTTGCCCAGGCTGATCTCAAATTACTGGAGTCAAACAATCCTCCTGCCTCAGCCTCCCAAAGTGCTGGGTTATAGGTATGAGCCACCATGCCTGGCCGACTGTAAACCTTATTTTGATTCTACCAGTTTTTCTTTCTTTCTTTCTTTCTTTTTTTGTTTGTTTGAGACAGAGTCTTGCTCGGTCACCTAGGCTAGAGTGCAGTGGCGAGATCTCGGCTCACTGCCTTCCAGGTTCAAGCGATTCTGACACCTCAGCCTCCCTAGTAACTGGGATTACAGGAATATGCCACCATACCCGGCTAATTTTTTGTAATTTTAGTAGACATGGGGTTTCACCATGTTGGCCAGGCTGGTCTCGAACTCCTGACCTCTGGTGATCCGCCCACCTCGGGCTCCCATTACAGATGTGAGCCACTGCACCGAGTCTGATTCTACCAGTTTTCCTAGTATACTTTTTCTGTTCCAGGATCCTACCCAGCATCCCAGTTACATTTAATTACCTTGTCTCCTCCAGCATGTTCCTTGTTTTTTCTCTTCTTTCATGATCTTGACAGTTTTGAAGAGTACTCATTCCGGTTATTTTGGAGAATATTCTCAATCTGGGTTTGGCTGATGTTTTTTCAGGATTGGAATGAGGTCATGCATTTTTGGCAGAATACCACAGAAATGATCCTGTGTCCTCAGTGCACCGTATCAATGGGATCATACTTCTTATTACTGGTGATCAGTTGGCTAAGGTAGTGTCTGCTGGCTTTTTCCACTGTAAAGTTACCATATATTTCCTTTTGTGATTAATAAATATTTTCCAAGAGATAAAACACTGTGCAAATGTTATTTTGCTTCACATTTATCCCTACTAATTTTAGCATCCATTGGTGCATCTTGTCTGCAATGATTATTACCATAGTGTTTGCCTATTGTGAATTTTCTGCTTTCTTCCTCTACATTTGCTAATTGAAATTCCATTGTAAGGAAGAGCTATCCCTTTTCCCCCGTTTTTAAACTATCAGAATGGACTCATGGATATTTATTTCATTGTGTGAGTTTAAATTGAATAGTATTATTTATTTTACTGCTTTAATTATTTTAGCTTTGGCTATTATGGCTCCTTCAGGTTGACTCCTATGTTCTTTTGATAAGCCCCATCCTTTTTTTGAGCGTTAACTTTCTGGAATCATACAATGTTCCGAGTTCATCTTATATTTTCCATGCCTCAATCCTGGAATCAACCATTTTCTCAAGGATTCCTGGTTTCTTTTATTGTACAATGGTATTTAGAGACCAGTATCTGGGTGATAGGTGTGCTCATTGCTGCTAGAGTGTCATTGTTTTTAATGCAACTTACTTTATATGGGCAGCATTTCTTACAACTCCACATGGCAGCAGAGAAATGAATTCACAATTCTCTCCAATATCAGAGTGTAGCCCCAAAGGCCATATTTTTAGCCTTTTAAAATTGGAGAATGTTGTTACTCTCTTAAGATGAATTCTAGAATTCAGCTGGTTAGTTCCTAATATAAATTTTTAATTAAAAATTTTAAAAACTAGACATTTCAGTGCATTTATTCTGTGTTTGGCAGGTGAAAGTATAGCAGAGGACTTGAATATAAGCTGCTCTTAAACTGTCATAATTCTTGGGTTATATTTTTATGACCTTCAAACATTAAAATATTGATGATAATTTGTTATTATATATGATTATTCTCCACTATCAACACTAAGGAAGGGGCAGCAAAGAATGAAAAATAATGTTATCTAAGAAAATTTCTTTAAAATCCTAGTGTTAGCAAACAGTATAGTATTTTTATATATATATATATAATATGCTCCTTGGTTACATAAATATTAGTTGCAAGGAGCATGTTTTTAATCTATTTTTCAAGTTTGTACAGTAGCTAAGTTTTAGATACTGGTATTTAGTCAGTGTTTAGTTCAAATGTACATGAGCAACTGCAATATTCCCCACAGTATATTGAGTGCCTTGAGGTTACAGAGAAAGGAGAAGCCAGTTTCTGAGTTCTTACTGTTACATAGTATTATCTCATTTTCAAACCTCATGTCACAGATGCCCTTCTCTTTTCCACATGGCTTTTATTCCTCCTTCAATACTCAGTTCACGTATCAGTTTTTCTGGTGTCTCAGATTCTGCTAGGATAGGTTTGCTACTCTAGGTTCCTATGCTAACCTCTGTGTACCTCTGGAGAGGTGCACAGCACCATGACATTTTATTAAAGAAAGATATAATTTAATAAAGGAAACTTTCCTTAAGGAAGTAACTTTTCTTGCTGTTGTTGTTTTGAGACTGGATCTCATTATGTTGCCCAGGCTGATCTCAAATTCCTGGGCTCAAGAGATCCTCCCACCTCATTCTTCAAAGTAACTAGGACTACAGGTGCATGTCACCATGCCCAGTGCAACTTTTGAATTAAGTACAAAAGGGTGAATAAGAGTTTTGCCAAGGAGAAGGAGAGATGGTTGCATTCTAGGCAGGGGGAAGAGTACGTGCAAAGGCACTGTCGCAAGAAGGACCTGACATGCCCAGAGACTGAGAGAAGACAGTGTGGTTGCAGCACAGAGAGTGAGAAGGAACATGGAGATGGGAGAAGCTGCAGAAGTAGGTGGAGGCTAGACCATGCTGTGTCTCACTAGGCCATCTGAAAACAATGAGAAGTCATTGGAGGATTAGATATGGGGGTAGAGGGAGACTAGCACACGTGTTCAATTTTACATTTTCAAAAGTTTATTTTGGCTGTAATGTGGGAATCAAGCAGAGAGGGGCCAGAGTAACTGAGTTTACCCAATTGGAGAGGCTATTGCAATGCACCAGGATAGAGGGTGGTAGCTGGGATAGTGTAGGGGAGGGGACAGAGGTGTGGAGACATTTGAAGGGGTAGCCAGAGTGATGGTGATAGACAGGGTTGGTTTATGGGTGGAGAGAGGCATCCAGGGTACTTCTTAGGTTTGTACAACCAGATGTGCACCCTTACTGTCTCCTACTTTTCCTACTGTATCACCTAGACTACTTCATAATTGCTTATTTAATCATTTCAGTGGGGCAGAGATCTTAACTGTCCTCTTCTTTGTTATTTTCACAAAATCTCATGCATTGTGGGCCTTCAATAAATGCTTGTTGAATGAATGAAAATAAATTTTACAGATGAGATATTTGAGAATTAAGTGACTTGTTTTGAGTAACAGAGCTGGTTAGTGGCAGAGTGCTAAGACTATAATTTAGACGCTTTGTTCTCAGTCTGTTGTCTTTTACTTTTCAG